TTGGTATGTTGGTTGTTGATACTGTATGTTGGTCGTTTCGTATGTTGGTTGGTTTGTACATAAATACATATACATGTATTTATGTTGGTTGGTTTGTATGTTGGTGTAATCGTTTATTTGTTGGCTCTGTCTTTTACTGCATATTTTTTATAGTATGTATTATTGTTAATTCGCCTAATCTGTGGTATTTGTTCTTTAAATATCGTACCCTGTGCAATTTTTTAATATTCAGTTATTAATTTAATTTTTTTTGATGTCAATTTTAACCTCTTATTGTGTATATTGTAAACCAAATATTTTTAGTCTTTTGACTTTCTATTTGGTATTAAGAAATAAACCGTAAATGAATGAATGAATGAATGAATGAAAGGTGGGATTTAGTGATTTCCTAGAGGTACCCACAGTTTGGGAGAAAAAATTGAAACATTGACAGTTTTGAGTGGCTCATAACCTGTGTGTTGTTTTCAATACCAGAGCTTGCCAAGGTTTGGTCTCTCCAAAAGGTAAGGTCAGTTGAGAATAAGGCAGCTGGCGTCATTCCAGTTTGAACATGTTCAGTGCATATGAGTCGGTGTGCAGCTGTGCTGCGTAATGACTGAATGACCTATGACTTGAAACATATCAAGCATGTGAGTGCCAATAAATGCTTAAGTGGTTTACTGTGAAGAAATTTTCTTGCGAGGTTAACCAGAAGAAGTTGCAGAGATTCTCTTGCCGTGGCAAGTTCAGAAAAACTCCTTTTTCCATGAACTGCTGTGCTCTTACAACAATCCATAATTCATCGATTTCGTTTTGAAATTCAATTGCCTACCCGTAGGAGCTGTGTTCTGAAATGCCCAAGGCTTGTGAGAGAATGAAGTCTACGGGACGCAACGTGCTCATGGCTGTGCAGCGCCTGCAGGCTGAGCCTCACTCTGATGTCGCCAAGGAGAACATGGTGACGGCTGCAAGGAGCCTACTACGGGCAACCATCAAGGTACATGGGCTCTTCAAGATCTAACATACCATTTGAAAAAAAGAAAAGCCAATGTATAATTAGGAAGAACATGTAGCTTACTTGATAGCAAAATGTGCATAACTGTTACGGCCATCATCGGAAATTGTTGCACTTTCGATGCTGCTGTTTTCCAAGCTGTGTTTGTATATGCCTCCCACTCTCCCTTGATGCTTAAGGGTGCACGAGAAGGCTGAATGCAAATGACTCTTTCATTAAATCTCGCTAATTGTCAAAAGGTCACCTTTGCTGATGGAGAGGCATTCTCTCGCTTACCAGTGGGCCATACATGTGTACACCTGATGGTCATGCACTCGTACCATGTACTCAAGTACATGTAACACGCTCGAACACAGCCTCAGAGAAAACAGTCATTTCCTTCCATTCTTCAACAATCATCCAGTCAGAATGTTGTTGGAGATTGACCCATTTGAAACACTGAACCATTGTTAACCCATCAACGAGGGGGACAGTGGCTAACATGTATGCACACAGCGACGGCTCATGGTCCATAGGATTTTTCACAGGCATCAAACCTCAGTTTTCTTTCTTTTTTTCACTCATGGTAATAACCAACAAATTTCCATCTGTGAAACACTGCTGTCACGACTTACCGAACCCCTAATCTGTCCAATTACAGGAAATATATGTGCGTATGTATGCTTCTATGTTTGCAAGTGTTTCCTAATCCCTGGTTTTTAACTCTCTTGGTTCCAACATGTCAAATGATGTAATATACATGTAGCAGTTAAGCTTAAACATTGTGTGTTCAAAAAAAGAGACAAATCAGTGAAATTCTAAAACCCACATTTGTTTTTGTATCCTTCAGTATTTGTACATGTACCAGGTAATGTTTTGTTGCGTTTGTTTCCACTGGTAATGTTTGACGCAAAGAATGCACCACACTGTTTTGCTTTCTGCTTTTTAAAATGTACATGTATGCATTCAACTGGAGATCCAACAAGTTACCAATGCATTTGAATTTGGAGTCACTCTCCTGCAGCTGTCTCAAACTTTGTAATGGGAGAGCATTTCTAAATCAAAAATCCATTCAAAACTCATTTGCATTTATATTAATTCGTACATTAAATGACAGCACGCCCACAAGTATGAATATAATTCATTCGGGGGGGAGAGGCATCACCTGTTGACAGAACTGCATTCATTAATTGCAAATTCACTGTGGAGAAGCAGCCTTTATACTGTGCAGTTTGCCCTGGCATTGGACAGGTTCTGCTCGTGTCGGATGGGGCCGAGGTGCGTCGGATCATCCAAGCCGCCCACTTTGTGCAGGACAGACTCCACCTGGTTCAGTCCGTGGAGTCCATGAAGGCCCTGGTGGTTGCCTTCAAGGTAGGATAACGCTGGGTCATTCCATGAATTTCATTCGTGCATACCGGTATCTTGATTTTCACCGGATATGGTCTGGAATGAAAACGCGTACTGGATTGCAAATGATGCTACCACCATTCACTTATACATGTACAGATGATATTGGTACCCTGCTCGTGGCTGGTCATCATTGATTCTATTTCTCATACATGTACCTCACCTTCAACCCTAAATTTGACTTTGGTGTCAGCCCTCTAACCATTTGCAGGCCTTAGATGTTTAAGCCAACCTGAAAGGAAAAGACCCATCGTTAACCTGAGTCTCTTTAATTATTGAGAGTTCCAAACCATGGATTCAGTTACAGGTTCAACTGTGTCTGAGTCACTTCTTTCTATTAATGTACAGAAACCTGAAATTGTGTGTTCGTAAGAAGCAAAATGGTTCAAAACTTTTAAGTGGTTCAACCAGTAAGCAAGCCTTAAATTAAATTACCCTGAGCCAAGTTGAAGTCCCAGCATGAGACAAAACCATGATATGGGAAATGTCTATGGCCTGTGGTCATGAAACGGGCAACCAAAGATGACTTCAGAAGTGTCCGTCGTCTGAGAAAATAATAATGCATAATCTGTGAGCTCGACATTATACATGTATGTAGGATGGGCTACATCCAAGCAGAATGGTCCAAGTCTACTTGAGTCCCGAGATACCTCCTTATAGCCCATGTAGTCTGGAGCAACGTACAAGTGGGTGAATGTACATTTTATCCCACCATCCCAGGCTTTTACCGAGTCTGTGATGACACTGAGCAGCCTCTGTGACCAACGACAGCAAGACCTTACCCAGCCTGAGACGAAAGAGAGAATCCTTGTTGCCATGGATACCCTGCGCAAGGCAGTGCCCACGCTCAGTACGGCCATGCAGACCCATGTAAAGTACCACAGCAACGCCCAGGCCAAGGTTCGTCATCAACCCCATTCCGAATATGTGAGAGTGCAATGTCTGATTGTATTACCCTGTGTTTTCATGAAGTCAACAGTCAGGGAGTCACGGAAGGTCAGATACCACAATGAACTCCAAATTTTGGTTGAGTTTCTATTGCACTTTCAATGAAGCGCCGTGACAAGGGACATCGAAAATCTGCCAAACACCGCAAATCCAAAATGCTTTCATGAAATTGGTGACCCTCGCTTGTCATTGGTGCATCTGAAATGCGTAATTCACGCGGAATCTACATATTTCCCCTGTATGGCCAGCCTTCATCACAAGGTTAAACCTGGCTCATATAATAGAGAAGACTCTGTAAAATCATATCCAGTTTTATTTTCCTTAAAATCTTTCGAGCAAAATGGTCTGTGTGAAGTAGTTTATCTTGTGGGGACAAAATGAAATTTGCCAAAGTCTGCCTAAGTTCAAGTCACTTCACAAAGAAACACTGAAAAACAGAAAAAAAAATTGGCCAATGCACGAGTTGTTTATATCATTAATTCTTAACATTTCCCCTATTTATTCATTTCTATAACTGTCTTTGAATGAGTTTAAAATATTATGTCATCACATTCCAACTATTAAAACGATTTCTCCTTTATGTCTTTAAACCTAATAACAATTCATCCTTGTGGTTAAAGCCATGGTGCCTACTTTTGTTCATGTAAGGAATCCATGAAAGCTAGCTCCATTCATTTCCATCATGTCTCCTCTTGCATCCTCTTTGGCAGGCAAGCCGTGACTTTGTCATCAGCCAGGTGTCTGCTGCCATCTCGGACATCATTGGACTGATGGGAAGTCAGCTGCAAGATGCCCCTGCCACCGGAGACCGGAGCGACCTCGAAGAGGAGATGGCAGAGAAGACACACCAGGAGGAGCCGGGCCACTTTGCCGCCAAGCTCGACAAGGTTTTTGAACTCTCATAGTTCCTCAACAGTTGGGTCAGGGCAGTGGTATGTCCCTGGCCCTCCAGGTTAAAAAACCGTCCCAGGGCATGCGGATTGGGTGGTATTTCCCTTACCTTGCCCCAGGGGGAGGGAACGTGCAACACCCTCCGATCACAAGTAACGAACTTCAAAGATACAGAGATACATAGCCCTTTAAACTAAATGGAAGAGTCAGTTTTGGAGAAGATGGTATTTTGCACCATTTGGTGTAACACATAGCTGTTTTCCTGTCCAAAAATCTGTGAAACTCTGTGCAAATGCAGTTTTATGAAAACCACAGTCCCCTACATGTATGTCATGACATCTGCATGCAGCAGGGGATGTTTCCCACCCAGTGCTACAGTTGCCGAGCAATACAGTGTCAAACTCATTTTATCCGAAATAATAAGCCCATTGAAATCAAAATTGGCAATAATCTGATTTTATTCTTACCAAAACATTCATTTTTCCTTATTGTTCACCTGCCTTTTGAATTACTCGGTCACACCCACCAATTCTGTTTTAAAACATGTCCACCAGATCTGTCAACAATCTTCATCTGGTAGGCTGACATCAGACCCATATTTTTCTCTATGTCCCAGCTTTTACAGCTGCTGTCACCCAACTACCGCGCGTCCCTGGACGCCGATTTCTACAGCCACGTGGCGGACGTCGTCCGGCACAGCATGTCCGTGGGATCTCTCTCCCGGGAGAAGCTACGGGAGCAGATCACTTCCTCTTGCAAACAGGTTTGTATCACGCCTCAATAAACTGATATAGAGCATGCAGTATTGTGCTTTGCAGCAAAGCAGATCCTTTACCCAGACAGGCTTACTAAGGTTTAATGTACTCTAGATTTTTGCCTTTTCAGTCCATCCAATTTATATTCTGTTAAGAGTGTATACCTGATTTCACCTCCAAACGAATATCTCTGATTGATTTGATAATATTTAATAAAATTAAATAACTGAAACATTTTTCATTCAGCATTTAATGGAAATATTATGTAGTAAGCAAGGCAGCGTAATTTTTGCAAGTGAAACACTTGAAATGAATGTTTAAATCCAAACCATAATTCCAAGGATTTAGTTTTATGACGTCCTAGTTGTTACAGTGTGCTCTCTTCTTTGGTTTGTCTCAACTACATTTCAAATGTGCTGTTGAGTTCATTTCAACATTTGATGATGTTGGGGATTTGTTTAAGCACTGCTTTCCAAATGAGAATAGGTACAGTACTACAGGTTAAGTGCGTACAGAAATTGCACTGAAAAAAGTGTACCAATGCCGGTGAAAAACCTTGAGTGTGGGTTGCATTTTCGGGGCTGCGTTATGTAATCATTTATCAAGCGCAAGTTCCATGTGAATATACTGCACGATAAAAACTACAACATGGTCGTGCCGAAGGCATGTAAAGGTGNTCTCAGGTAGCCGCCGAATTACCCATATCTGCCCACCGAGCACATCCAGAGATAAGAAGTGTTGATTTGTGTGCACGGAGGAAAGCTAGAGAAAAAGCCTCCTGACACTGGAGAGAAACAACAGAGAATTCTACTCGCATGTGGCTCAGGCCATGAATCGAACCCAGGACCGCGGGGGTGAGATGCGAGCGCTTTTACGCACTGACATCCCAGGCCACCCAAGCACAATTTGATGAAATAGTGCTAGAAATTAAATCATTTTAAAGCCGTGATGTCGCCGTGATTTCCAGATCTTGAAGCAGCGGGGACTGATCCAGGACCAGTCGCAAGGGATCCGCGACAACCCGGCCTTCTGCCAGCTGCGCTCCGACTTTGGCTCCAGCTGCGAGAGCCTGGCCAAAGAGCTGTTGGTCCTGGAGAAGCTGGTGAAGTTTGCCCTCATCGGACAGACAGTGGACGCCTTCGTGGAGACGGTAGAGCCCCTAGACAGGATGGTGAAGGCTGCTACGACTGCACTCAAGGTACGGTTTTAGAACTGGTCTCCCGAAGTGATCCGTGATACTTTGCCGAGACGAATGCTTCATGGATCACCAAGGGAAGCTGGGCTAGTGTTACCACACCAGGAGATAAAATAATCAATTGTTGTTTTGTAACATCTCGCACACAGATTCTTCCTTAATTGAAGTGATTCGTGATAAATTTGATCTAAATACATATTAAAGATATATCTCTTTGAATAATAAACTTGTTGAAATCGTACCAGCACCTTTCCAGACCATCTCTTTGGGAAATGTCTGAACCCCAGCTGTGCTGTGCTAACACTAAGGACTGTGCACAACATGCACAGCGGTATGAATTGTACACAGTGTCAGTGATTATGTGTATAGTTCACTGATTGCTACAGGCGTAGGAGTTTTTTTGGCTGTGCACAGGAAGTTGGCAAAAATACTGAACAATATGTGACTAGCTCTCAGCCAACCAAAATGCAGAATCTGTGGCAGAGGTGTTATAAAAATCTGTATCCCGTTCACTGTGCATGGACTTCCAACCTGCATGTTCATATTTGTGCTTCTTCAATTACACATCGGATATCCTGTTTGAAATTTAGGTTTTTCTCATCTCTACAAAGCTGACGTGATCGTGGCNCCTCAGGTAGTTGCCGAATGACCCATATCTGCCCACCGAGCACATCCAGAGATAAGAAGTGTTGATTTGTGTGCACGGAGGAAAGCTAGAGAAAAAGCCTCCTGACACTGGAGAGAAACAACAGAGAATTCTACTCGCATGTGGCTCAGGCCATGAATCGAACCCAGGACCGCGGGGGTGAGATGCGAGCGCTTTTACGCACTGACATCCCAGGCCACCCAAGCACAAGTTGATGAAATAGTGCTAGAAATAAAATCATTTTAAAGCCGTGATGTCGCCGTGACTTCCAGATCTTGAAGCAGCGGGGACTGATCCAGGACCAGTCGCAAGGGATCCGCGACAACCCGGACTTCTGCCAGCTGCGCTCCGACTTTGGCTCCAGCTGCGAGAGCCTGGCCAAAGAGCTGTTGGTCCTGGAGAAGCTGGTGAAGTTTGCCCTCATCGGACAGACAGTGGACGCCTTCGTGGAGACGGTAGAGCCCCTAGACAGGATGGTGAAGGCTTCTACGACTGCACTCAAGGTAGGGTTGTGAAGTTTTGACTGCTTTGAGTGGCGTAGTAGAACTGGTCTCCCAAAGTGATCCATGACGCATTATACTTTGCCGAGATGAATGCTCCATTGCTTCACCAAGGGAAGCTGGGCTAGTGTTACCACACCAGGAGATTAAATGATCAATTGTTGTTTTGTAACATCTCCCACACAGATTCTTCCTTAATTGAAGTGATTAGTGATAAATTTGATCTAAATACATATTAAAGATATATCTCTTTTTTAACAATAAATTTGTTGAAATCGTACCAGCACCTTTTGACCATCTCTGAACCCCAGCTGTGCTGCGCTAACACTAAGGACTGTGCACAACACGCACAGCGGTATGGATTTGTACACAGTGTCAGTGATTATGTGTATAGTTCACTGATTGCTACGGGCGAAGTAGTTTGCTTGCTTTGGGTAGAGTTTTTTTAGCTGTGCACTGGAAGTTGGCAAAAATACCGAACATCATGCGACTAGCTCTCAGCCAACCAAAATGCAGAACCTGTGACAGGTGTTATAAAAATCTGTATCCCGTTCACTGTGCATGGACTTCCAACCTGCATGTTCATATTTGTGCTTCTTCAATTACACATCAGATATCCTATTTGAAATTTAGGCTTTTCTCATCTCTACAAAGCTGACGTGATCGTGGCTCTATATTCTCCAGGCATTCTCACCAGGAGCCTTCCTGAACACTCTAGATCCCATTTATTTATATAACCCTAACTCTTTATTTAGAAACACCCAACATAAACGTGATCGATCGTTTCCACATTTACTAAAATTACCGTATGAAATACTTTCCCATGGTACCTTATGCTCATCTACATGTAACTCAAAGCAGCCAGCCGACCCAGGCAAGCTCAGCTGTTGAGTGATATTCAAAACATTGTCAGCATTTTTGTGGGTGTGAATCATGTCTGAGTTAAAGCTTATTCATTTTTTCTCCAACTTTTGGTCAGTGCCGAGTACACAGGATTTGTAAACATAGGCATCAGTGACAGGTGAACACCCAGTCGTTAACATTTTATCTTTACTCTTGTGATATTCTTGCCAGAAGCCTGCCGTAATCCCCTGAAATCCTACATGCAGGAATCCTGAGTCATATTCTTGGCACTACAGCTTTCACAAACCCAATGTGACTGAGGAAGCTGAGCTCCACCTTCCTCAATCTTGTGAAATCCTCCAAATTTTCCATATCAAGAGGGCATGTGGTAGAAGGATAGTCTTTTCACGGCAATCGCTTTGTTGCACTGAAAGCAGGAACAAGGCTATATTTATAACGTACATGGCCTTGTAATCGGTAGTGTCTTTTTGTTGTTCTGCACTCAATGGTAACTTTTGCTGGTTCTGTTATCTTGATTATAGGACAAGGGACCGCTGCGGGAAAAAGACTGCATCCGAATTTTGCAGCCACTGGAGGACACGTTCCACGAACACACAGACAGAATGTGCCAACTCGGTAGCTTTGCTTCAGCAAGTTGTACAGATATACAGAGTGAGTGCATGATCTACCTCCTACAATATTTTAATTGAGTTCTATTCCAGAATATATCTGTGATGTAACTCAACAAATGAGTCACAGCTCACCAGACCTGCTTTTGAGTTGAAGGCCTATGTTATGTTCAAAGAATCTGGCACACTGTAAGTCAAGAACCTTCGACATTAATGTCCAAAACTGATGCATCCCAGAGTACTTGATACTGTGCTCATAATGCAAACTGAAACCAACAGTGAGTTTAGGAAAATCTGGCCCAAAGACTCATGCTCTGTGACCTGGTGTCATTTAATTGTTTCACTGAGCAAATTTCTATGGTGAACGGCAAAGAGTTGCGCCGAGGGCTGGCTCTGGAAATATTGTTAACCACTTGCTGCGGGGGGACCCGGTTTCAGGTTCGTTCTCTTTATACCATATGCCGGGCTGTGCAAAACTGGACAAAAGAGCTGGGATCTTGTAACAAAAGACCGTTCTTGGAACAAAAGACCGAGCTGCTGGGAATTTCCAACATTTTTTAAGTTGTCCAATAGCGGAGGAAATCCGTCATTATTTGAAAGATTATTACATTGTTTGTGGCATTCAGCATGAGCGGATTACCACCGGGGACAAAGCGCTCTAGTGATGAGTGATACAATACCGCTGGCCCCTTTTGAAAAGACGTCAGCAGTGCACTGTGCCAGTTTGGGGAACCAAAGAAAATTACATAACAATGCACAATCTGGGTTTTTTTTACGAGGCAGCAGGCCTGGCTGAAATACTCGGGCATCAATAGATGTTGTCTGTCAGATTAGAGTAGCCACCAGACAGTCGTTTGTGTTGATGTAACTGTCTAGTAAATGAAGTTATGAATTTTAAAGAATTTTGAAAACAGAAAAAATGAAAAATCACCCGGCCCAGCAGAATCAACATGGACATATGGGCCTGGCGCGAAGTGGCTAAATGCATGTGCTTTGAGCACGGTTGGAGCTTCAAACAAGAAATTTTAAGCCCAAAGATTTCCTTCCGTAGGAGCTTCCAGCTTGTTCCAGGTGGTGGGTTCGCTGGAGAGGCTGGACCCCGAAGTCTTCCCGGCGTGCCTAGCGGTGCGTCAGGACATCCTGGACAAAGGGGCCGTCCGCCACCTGAAGCTGATCCGCCGCCAGTGGCTGAGCGAGGTGCAGCGGTTGGTGGAGGCCATGGACGACCTCATCGATGCAAACAGATTCCTGGAAGTGTCAGGTGAGGAATACCTTGCAGGTTCATAGATGAAGCTGTAAAGGGTATGAAGAAAGATTTGACCAGTGTCTCACCTCAGTGTTTTTGACCGAGAAACTGTTAAGCCCTCTAAAAAGATCTTTACCCTCTTATCCTTGTCTGTTCGTCGGGGTTCAAAGAAACAATTTCTTTTGGCTTCGCTAATTTTGGCACATATTCTAGATCCTTGCTATAGACGTTGGTTACCTTCGTCTTCACGTAGAGTCTCATGTATTATTATTTTAATTTCTGGTAATGACACCAAGGACTCTTCAACTGTGTGCCCTAGTACTGTAGCACATAATCCCAAAGAAACCTGTAGAGAGGAGTCAGTGAGAAGCAGTTACAGTTTTAGAGGTGGGAGGAAAACCCTAGAGGAATATTCTGGGTAGAACCCATGGAATCAGATAGGGACTGAAAACCCAGTTCACGTGTGGACCTATCGGTAGCTGGGAATCGAACCCAGGCCGCAGAGGTGGAAGGCAAGGAAAGAACCACTATGCCAACCTCACTCCCCAAAGTAATGTAAAGTAAGCATTAAGCCCTGCCTGACTTGCTTGGCGATGACAGGAAAAAAGCGCATGTGCGCGCACTGAAGTCGCCAGCTAGTGGCTACTTGGACTTCCTCAGACGATTATTTTCAAGCCATGGCCAAATAATGCAGACGTGGTCTCAAGCTGTGTTCCCATTGGACTTTCTCGTCTGTGTCCTTGCGGAAACTTGATTCCCTGTTGAAATTCCTTTATGTGAAACTCCGGTGCATTCCAGTGTCTAAAGTGTATCCCCACAAACTGGCAATAGTTAGCTACCACGCTGCTTTTATGGTTTATGATCAAGATTTCCTCAGTTTCCTTCCCCTGCAACCTCCTCCCCACTACCCAAATCTGGGTTTACTCGTACAGAACACTTACGTTTCTCACCGTTTTCAATTAAATCTGCCATGATGTTCATGAGGCAGAAGACAAGACCGCTTTGATGGAAATGTCAACATCGCCATGCCACAAAGAACAGCGACGTGTGCGCGAACATGTACCTATACACAAAGAGGTCAGGGAACTATTCTCCACACAGGGCATTTTAGAGTATTGTTGTGGAAGTTTTACAGTGCGGTGCCGTTCCCATTGGATTAATTGAACTCTGTAAGGCTACTTGCAGCTCCACAGAAAATTTCTGTGACCACTTTTTTCTCTTATCACGAGTGCAGTGGAAAATACAGGGATATCAATATGTTCTATGCATTCCAATTGGACTTAATTTTGTAATTCTTCTGTTCAAGCATGGTGGTTTTATAAAAAAACATGTCCGTAGAAATCACTTCTTGATGGGAAATTTCGGGCACAAACTATAGTTCAACCAGTAGTCAGATGCTTTTTAACCCCTTCGCGCCGGGACGCGGGTAGAGCCGCTGTAAAAATTGAGATCCCCAGCCCGCTTTTCAGCTATTATTCTCGGCCCACGCTCGAGCGAACACGGTGAAAGAAGGCAGACCCTGGCTCTTG